CTCGTTTTGCAAACAATACTGCAGGGTCGTCGTTATTTAATTTTGCATTTACATTATCGAACTTGAGGCATGAGTTGTACGAAACGATGACAGTACACGGTGCTTCCTTGAGATGCAATAACTCCTTACCAGCATTTTCTGGTGTTGTTTGTTTACTTCAAATGTGATCATTGCCTCACAGAAATATCGATTACATTATACAGTTGAAGAATTATAAACCCAGGAAAGAGGAGTCAGCATTTCAACGTCGAACTGAAACGGGTTGTGATATTATTTCTATTCTTTTTCTTCTTGTGGTTGTTGAATAATGTTGTACCACTAAGAATTTTGTGTATTCGACCAAGTTTCGATACAGACGAAGATGGGAACTTCTAATTTGTTTTAGATCTCCAGTGCTTTTCCCTTCCATTACTTTTTCTAGGCATGGATTAAATTCTTAGGTATTGCAAGCTAATGAGGGTTGGTTTTCCACCATTCTTTAGTTTACTAGTCTTTTGCGCGTAAATATTTCTTCTTTGAATTGTTTCCCTTATTTCTTAATTCAAGTTTTTGCTTGTTTTGTTGTAATTATGTGAGTTTTTTTTTTTTTTTTTTTGTGGGGGGGGGGGGGGGGGGGGGGGGGGGGTTTTAAACCACCCTTTTGGGGAAAAGGGTTTAATTCGAAAAAGGGGTTTAAAAAACTTAAAAACCCCCCCCCCTTTTTTTTTTAAAACCTTTAAAGGGGGAAAAAAGGGAAAAAAACCCCTTTCCCCACAAGTTTAAAAATTATCCCAAAAAAAAAAAGGGACCATTTTTTAAGCTTTTAAAAATTTTTTCCAAACTTAAAAGTTTTTTAGATATTTAAAAAAAATTACCCAAAACCCCTTTTTTTAAGGGGAAAAGGCCAAAGGAAAATTTTTGACTCTCCACCTGTGCACATAGAGGAAAAAAATGTAAATTTTGTATTTTTGGGCCCCCCGGGAAAAAAAATATATATATATATATATATATATATATATATATATATATATATATATATATATATATATATATATATGCAAGCCCAGCTTTTTATTAGTTCAAACCTACTTAAAGAGATTTATTAGTTCAAGTCCCTAAATTAATCTAATTTTATTTAATCAAGAACAAAGAGGATAAATATACCCTTATCCACAAATAATACTCAATTACAAATAAATCATATTTTTAATTTGTTCAAGACCGAAAAATCAAAAAACAAAAAAAAAAACAAAAGGAAAATATCATGACTGCCGCCGCCAGACCGCCGCGACGCCAACCAGCGAGACTTCCACCGCACCGGCAATGACCAGCGACCCATCCACCGCACCATTACCACCACCGCACCACCACCAACAAGTAAGTCATTTTTATTAAACTTTTGTTTGTAAATTCGAAAACATTACTCGAGCATCGATTCTTGATAAATATGTATGAATGCATGAACATTAATCTGTGTTTATTTCTTGTTGGGTTGCAATGTTTTGGCCGATTTTGGGAAAAAAATTGAGATTAAAATTGGTTTTTTTTTTCCGTTGGTTTTCCAAATCGGTTTACCCAGACCGATTTTGTACACGAAAATCGGCGTCATAATGCCGATTCTTGTTAACCAAATCGGCGACACAACATCGACTTTACAAGTCAAAATCGGCGTGCGAGTATCGATTATTGAGTACAAAATTGGTTATCGGATACCGATATTTTTCGGATTTTTTTTCCTTTTTTTTTAAATAATACATTATATATTAGGTTAATTAATATTTTTTCAATGTTTTGCAGTGGAATCTCAACCTCCTCGTGTACCCCCGACCGTCTCTAACCGTAATCGAAAGGAAAATGCTCAAAAGAGTAAGGTGGAAAAGCCAAAAAAAGGCGTGCCCCTTTTAATCCTCCCGGTCGACGCACTCGGATTAATGAAGGTCCTTTTTCAGTACCGATATTTTTCGCTTTTTGCATTTTTTTTTCCAACTCGTAATACACACTATCCTTAGGTGTTTGAATCTTATAATACAACTTTAGATGTATTAAGCATAAATATATATGTTACGAGCAATTGTAAGTAATGCAAAATAATAATAAATGCTACCAACGATCTTAAAATATTGTACATTATTGTTTCACGAAAAGAAATTACCATCTCGTCTTCACTTGCATATGTTAAATCTATGAAGGTTTCTTGCAAGGCTACTTCTTGACCAACTAACTTCCTAAACATCGTTATCCTTGATTTTATACCGGAAGTTTTCCAACCATCCGCTTTTTCATCATGGTACCGTCGCCAATAATCCGCTATAGGAGGTATAGAACAATTCATTGTAACTCCTACCCAACATTATCGGTATCCTTTCCTCGTTTTGTCCATTTAATCTAAATGTGCAACTACATTTTTTAGAACCCGTTCTCCTTTTTCCCTCTCCTTGGTCATCCTCACCGGCTTTCTTCTTCCCACGATACTCACCCGCATGCTCACACGCGAGTACAAACATACATACGGTCTTCTACGCCCTTTCAATCCCATATTTGAAACGAAAATGTTTATCACCATTCTGTGGCGTCTACCAACTCCTTTAACCCAATCAAGTAGAGCTTCGCGTGTCTCAAATAATTGTTCGTTAGATAATTCATTTGAATAATCCTCCATCAATTCCCTAGGTTGCTGCACGGAAGTATGAAAACGGTCTTAAAGAAACACAGATAATGAAATCGATACTTAAAAATCGATTTTTGTAGTACAAGTCGGCATGATAATACCGATAATACAAAAATAAATCGGTGTTGTCATGCCGATTTGTACTAACAAAATCGGTTTTTAAGTACCGATTTTTATTAAAATAATCGTAATGTGGTTACCGACTTTAGTAACAAAAATCGGTATTTGCAGACCGATTTTTGGTATCGTCGAATTTTTTTCCCAAAAAAAACAAATGACCAAAACGCAAAAATAAACGATTAAAACATATTTCATTGTGTTCTCCACCCTCGTAAACCACCATAACATTGTTTTCTGGTTCCATCGTGAATGTTTGGTGTGTATTTGATAATTTTGGTGTGTAGAGTTTCTTGGTGGGTTTGTGAAGAAGAAGGAGAAGAAGTAGGAGATTTTTAAGTCGTGCAATAATGAAGAGGGGTTTCTGGGTTTATGTATTTTATTTGGTCTTGCACAAAGGAAATGATTTTTTTTATTTTTTAATATTTTGTGTTTTTTATTTGGTTTTAAATTTTGTTAAGGGTAAATTAGTATTTTTATGTTGAAGGTCTTGAAATAATAAAAAAATGAACTTGCATATAACGCCGCCATATATAACCATGATTTGAGAGGAGGTGGTGGATGTAACCATGGAATCGACTATGGCGTTGCTGGAGGCAGTGGGGAGGGATGGTGATGACGGCGGCGGCGGCTCTGGGGAGGTGCTGGTGGTGAGCGTCGTCGGTCATGAGGATGGGCTCGTTGGGCGGCGGCGCTTATGGTGTCGGTGGTGCTCGCCGTTTGGGGGGGGGGGGGGGGGGGGTGATGTTGGCTGATGACTACGTCCGTACACTTCCGGTCTGTCTGCGCACACTCCTTCCACGTTGACTGTATAGATATATGGCTTAGGTCACACGCTAATTGCCTCCTCTGCCGTGCCAGAATATTCCGTCAGGATTCACCGTTTACTCTGTTAATGGCCGCCAGGATTAGACCTAGCCTCGACGACATAATAATCGAGACCACAATTCTGGAACCTCTAACGGAAATCCCGATGGAATCGAATCCGATAAAAGAGGGAGAAATCAATCAGGAGCAATCGCCGAGGCGGAGCCACCAATCGGAGGACATCGCAGATCTAGAGTTTGGTGGATGAGATATACGGTTTGGTGGGGCGAATCTAAGATTTTTCGATTCCATGTCTATAGATGTCTATAAGTATATATGGGTGTCTATGGTGTCTGACGGCTAGAATTTTAAAGGAGGAATTAGGTTTTAAGAATACGTGACTACGGATTACTACAGTTTCCTACGAGTGTCTATACATGACTACACACTACTACGGTTTTCTACGGGTTTCTATAGAAGACTACGGCCGAAAAAATTAAAAAATCATAATTTTCAATAATATGCAGAAGAAAAGGAAAAAATACGAAAATGCAAAATAAGAAAGAATTGTTCTACGGAAAAAAAATAATAACAAAAATGCTAGATGCGAAAATAAAAATATTAAATGCAGAATGAAAAAATGATAAATACAGTTTAAATATTACTTGGTGCATATTTCATTTTTTGTATGTGGGGGCATTATTGGAATGAAATTTATAAAGAATGTGAAGCTAATGTTCTAATATCTTTCGGGGAAAAATCAGAATTTTTGGAATTAATTTCAAAAAAATAAACCGGGTCGGAAATCGAAAAAATCATTTCTTTTATATAATCCCAATTTCAATAAAAAAAATATCAGAAAATATCCGAATACGAAATTTTGGAAATGGAAATGAAAAAAGTTGTTCCAAAATCGAATTTTTTTCGGCGGAAATTGGAAATTATGTTCCACCTTTCACCATTCAGCAATATAAGTGGAGCAATAAAGTGAGTCAAGGTAGAGGGGTAGACGGCATCGTTTAAGGAGTGACAAGTTGCCAATATTGAGGAGCTCTCTTGACCCACGGAACGAAATCCCCAAGAGAGAGAGAGAGGCGTACACAGGTACACAAATAAAACACAGTGCAGAGTGTATTACCGAAAAGGCGCCATTCAATTTTGCATTGTGCGTACCCCCAATTCCAATTTCCAAATACACTCAGACGCCATTGTTACGCATGGCGTCATTGCTTTTGCCTGCCCCAAACCCCTCTTCTTCTTCCTCTTCTCTATTCTCCCGCTCCTCTTTTCCCCACTCCACCTTCTTCCATCGAAGAACCGCCGTCGTATGTTCTCTCTCTCTCTCTCTCTCTCTCTCTCTCTCTCTTTGTTTGTTTGTTTGTTTGTTTCATCAGGACTTTTTGTTTTTGACGGATTCAGTGGAAAACCTCCGCTAATTTTTATGCTTAAAATTCGTTCTGTGAAGAATCCACGTAATGAACATTCAATTTGAACTGAACAAACATATAATTTGTATATTTTATTCGTTTATGGAGTGAAGTGTTTGCAGAATTTGTTACGAGAGTTTTTATGCCTAATGTTTTTTTTTTTTGTTTGATTATAGAAATGCGAGCTGACGGAGCCAGTGAATGGAAAGCCTTTTGTTCCTGTTCTCAACGATCAAATATTACCGAAGTTCTTGCAATCCAAGCGGCTCGAGAATGCCGTCAACAAAAACAGTAACAACAAGATTAAGATATTTTCCGGCACAGCGAATTCCGCACTTTCTCAGGTGAATCCTGCCAACTTGACTTCGATTCCGCTTGTCCAGCCAAACAAGGCACACAGTGCCTTTCTATTAAAATCAGTAACAGATGTAGCTCGGGCGACGTAAATTTGGCCTCAAATGCATATGTATTGACAATTATAGATGCTTTACCTTTCGGCTATGACACGTGACTTCCATTCTTGAGTTTCCAAAAGACTGATAGCATGTGGTTTTCATTTTCAAACTATTCTTTGTGTTTCCGACATTTGTGGTAGTGATAATATTTTCATTGGATACTCACTGTATGGAACCAAATGTACTCGCTTGTTTTTACTGTTTTATGAATGACATGGCGCGGAAGTTAGTTGGAAAGAACAGGAAATGTTAGTAGGTCTGGACACCGATTTTGTATCTGAAAATTAGTTGTATTTCAGAATGGATAAACAAGTGCATTTCACAGTTCCAGTAGTAAATAACAAATAATGGTGCATCCACTTCGGTGTTTTGTTCAGGAGTGAGTTGCTTAGTTGCCAGCTATCCTTGTAAATAGGATAAACCTGCATCATTTGTGTCTGTTGTCCATTATATCTTAATTCTGCTCAATTCTATTTTCTTGTATCAATTCAGTGTTAAGGGATTTTGTTTAATATGAAAAAGAGCTAAAAGAATGAATGTGGTCTTATTTATTTTTGTTTATGTTTCTGTTTACTTTTACTTTTACTTCCATTGGCCTTTTGTTTATTTTCTTGTATTGCTGAACAACTGAAAACATGAAGTTGCCTTTATTCATATTTATGTTGCACAATTTTGTTAATAGTTCGGCCCCACAGAAAACTTTTCTATGAATCTGCTGCTGATGTAATGTTCAAAATGCATTTAACGCATGACGAATAAATACAGATTATGTAAAGGAGAGAGAAAAACAGAGAAATGAAATCGAGGAAGTACTAGACATTCAGTAGGCCATGGTTGTTTATTTTATTGTGTGATTATAGTAGTTATTTTTTCCCCCTCTGTTATATCTTGTATAGTCATTTTTTAACTTCTGTTATTTCATTTGATATTATAACATTCTATCACTTAGGAGATTGCATGGTATATGGGCCTCAACCTTGGAGGAGTGAACATCAAGCGATTTGCTGATGGAGAGATTTACGTTCAGTTGCAAGAGAGTGTTCGTGGCTGTGATGTGTACCTTGTCCAGCCCACCTGTCCTCCAGCTAACGAGAATCTTATGGAGCTTTTGGTAATGATAGATGCTTGCCGTAGGGCTTCAGCTAAAAAATATCACCGCAGTTCTCCCATACTTTGGATATGCTAGAGCTGATCGAAAGGTTTGTCTTATGAGTTATGATATATGTTACCTTCTATAATGAGAAAAATGTTAAATTTTCATGCGGCTGATCTCGTTTCTTTTTGCTGTCACTAGACCCAAGGACGTGAATCCATTGCGGCGAAATTAGTGGCCAATCTAATCACAGAATCAGGTGCAGATCGAGTTCTTGCTTGTGATCTCCACTCTGGGCAGTCCATGGGTTACTTTGATATTCCAGTCGATCATGTTTACTGTCAGGTATGGTATCTGCTAAAACTTTCCTCCTTTTCTTATTATTATTATTTTTTATTTTATTTAATTATGATATTAATTATTTTTTCGCTTGGTTGCTTTTGTGCGAAAGCCTGTCATCCTCGATTATCTTGCGAGCAAGAAGATATGTTCCAGTGACTTAGTAGTGGTATCTCCTGATGTTGGAGGAGTTGCAAGAGCACGTGCTTTTGCCAAGAAGTTATCTGATGCACCGTTAGCTATTGTGGATAAAAGGCGTCAAGGGCACAACATTGCCGAGGTAGTTATAATTTCCATCTTAGCTATTGTTTTCATATTGTCTCATGTTGATATGTTCATATGATGTAAACAAATAGTCATTTTCTTGTCTGGATGAGATTAACTATGGAAAATGAAAAGACTGGATCATTAGATTCGTTTAAGATTACTTGGGAGGTTTTTCAGGAAAAAATGCATTCTCGGGTAACATAATATTTAATGTAATTTATACGCAATGGTGTTTTTGTTGTTGTCAGTTATCCTTCAATGCTTAATGAAAAGTTTCATATTGTCTGTCACTGTACTTCGATGATTGATACTAACCTGATTGAAGTGTCTTATGTTTGACTGTAGTTTCGTATTTTCTTCTTCGTTTTTCTTCATAAAGACAAAGGAATAATTGTCCACTTTTTTCAGGTTGTTGTCGTGTTTATAGAACTAGTGCGCAGTGCCTAGATAAATATTATCAACTGTAGTATTTTTTAATCAACGCTAGTAAGTTTCAACAATTTTGTTGTCGTGCTTTACACTCTCAGCTCTTCTCCAGTTTAGTGATGAAATGTTAGTAGAGGTGAGTTGAAGATGGCTGACGATAAGCAGGAAAGGTAGCTTGTAGGTTCTTCAACTTCAAAGAAGTAAATAGACATAATAAATTAGTTTCGTGATATATGTACAATTCATACTAACCGAATAATATTTTCAATTAATTTACCAGCTAAATTTGCACGTAAAATTTATGGTTTTTAGCAGCTTTTATAAAGGCAACAGCTTTTACAATTTTTAGCATTTCTCATTCTTACTCTAAAAATAAGCACTTCTTCAAAAGGAAATGCGTTCGCAAACATGTCTTATGTCTATAATGTATTTCTAACTGCTTAGTCCAATTTATACACGCGAACGACAAATAAGGATTTTCGCAATAATCACTATGATAACAATCATAAAGTAGTAGCCACTTCTAGAAATATGGTGACATCAGACTTAATCACTGAAAGTACACCTTTTCGAAGTTCCCATCTAAGGTTGCAGAAATGATGAACCATTGACGAGTCACCTCTCTAATGTACTGTTAACTATTTATGTTGAGAATCTCACTAAAGTATCTTTTCTAGCTTGCATTTTTCCGATAATAGTGAAAAGTTTCCTCCACATTACTCTTTTCTTAAAACTTAATAATTTGTTTCTCTTCGTTTGGCCCCACATCTTTTTATTTGTTGCAGGTAATGAATCTGATTGGTGATGTGAAAGGAAAAGTTGCAGTTATGGTTGATGACATGATCGATACAGCCGGTAAGTAGAACCATATCTGATTATTAGCAGTCGATTATTCAGAACTGCACAATATGTACGTTGTTATTTCAAAAGTTCCATTGTCATGCTATTGAAAGGTATAATCAGGGATATATTTTTGTAATTAAATTATTGAAAACTATTCCAACTCTTGTAATCAGGGATGAGTGTGAAAAGGTGAAAGAATGTAGTAGAACCAAATTTAACCGTACGAAAACTTGGGAGTCTTCTTTCAGTCAGCACTCTCCATGTTTAGAGAATTTAGCTTCTTTTCACGTGTAGTTTAATTTGCAGCTGATTCTGTTATTTTCTTTCTTTCAAGCCATGAAAGCTAAAATAATTATTCCTGGTTGTCATAGGAACTATTGCCAAAGGTGCAGCTTTGCTGCATGAGGAAGGTGCCCGAGAAGTTTATGCATGCTGTACTCATGCTGTTTTCAGGTATATGTGCAATCATTTGTTTTCTATGCCATATCTGCGTTTATCATGGATGCTTTTTTGATAACACCAAGTAAACTTCCATGTGCTGCCATATTTTTTTGGAATTACCCGTTTCCTTAAAATTGAATAACTTGAGCCAACAATTGCTGTTTATTATACATGGTGGTCTGATCTTCAAGCATCTTCGTTTAGGTGATGTCGTCCAGATTTGTATGACTTGATGCATTTGAATATCTAGCAAATCAAAATTTTACATACTCTTGAAAAACATTTTAAAAGTATTATTAATGTTGCAACTTTTACAGTATTTCTTATTATTTGACAATTGAATGTCCATTTCTGATTTCATTAGTACGTACCTTTACTTTCTAATACTACTAGTAACGTGGAAAAACTATAAACTACGAAGATGCTACCTGCTTCCTCGAGGAAATTTACACGTGTCATGAGATTCATCGTGCATGATGTTTTAGTTCATGTGGGTCAAATTCGTCTTCTTAGAACTGCCGAAAGAAGACTTAATTCATTTTGAAACCATTTTATTTTTCACCTCTACATAATCTTCAATCATTTGGAAGGCAAGCTATATTGAAGAAAGAATTCTCGTGCTTGCGCATTCATAAAAGAATTTAATGTGTGGACGTGTTTGTTCGTTTGTGTTAGTACTCCGAGCACATGTTCATTCTTGCAGGAAACAGAATATATGAATTAGAACAGGGGTCCACTAGAATAAAACAAATAAAAGATATTACCCGACACGGTTACATTTGCTAGATGTTATTTGATCCTTAATTCTTCTCTCCAAAAGGTTACGCAAGAACCTTCAGTTTCTATTGCAGATCATTTGAAGTCTCTTATATGTGACGATGATGCATTTTGATTTTAAGCACCATATTATTATTATTATGTATCGAAAATAAAACGGTTTTTTCCGTTGTGAAATTGGTTAAAATCAAATATAATATATTAGTGATGTGGTCCTTTGACAGCCCCCCAGCAATCGAGAGGTTGTCCAGTGGCCTATTCCAAGAGGTGATTATTACAAATACTGTTCCTGTAATGGAGAAGAACTATTTCCCGCAATTAACAGTTCTATCAGTCGCTAATCTCTTGGGCGAAACGATATGGAGAGTTCACGATGATTCTTCTGTCAGTAGCATTTTCCAGTGAAGATCATCGATTTGCAAGGAATATGGATGGTGCTAACAAATTAGTTCTTACGTCGCCGATTGAGAGAGCTTATAGTGGGACTCTCTTCTCTATTGAATTCAAATTCATTATCTTTTTGTATCTGTAATTTATTTTCGCCCACACCGTGAAAACCACACACATGCTAAAGGTGCCGGGCCGATATATGTAGGAGTTTAAGAACTCGATGCCTGGCTGTAGTAGAACCACTTTCACATTGATTGAGCCAGAATATTGCTCTTCAATAAATTTGGGTGAATCATTTTCTTTGTGAAGAGAATGATTTCTGGATTAGCAGAAAGATAATTGTTTTTTGCTCTTATTGCAATGTATCGTATGTTGATTTTGCAGCTACTAAAAGTACTTAATAGCAGCACAAACTGATGTTTCTGCGGCCTAAACTTTGGTAACATAATTGATTCCTGTATGTAACAGGATTTGAATTTAAAATAAAAATAAACATTATTATTATTATTATTATTATTATTATATATATATATATATATATATATATATATATATATATATATATATATATATATATATATATAGGAATGGTGAATGGGATCTTATGTTGTGTTTCACAATTATTTCGTATCAGTCGAGTTTGATACTAACGATAAAGCTCGTTGGTATGTGAATTTTAGTTTCTAACTTTCAAAGCTGAAGATATTTGAGTTTGAGCATACCAAAACTCGGCTAAATGCCCCGGTTGTCACCCATAATTACACACACAATGATACTCATATATTTTATTCAACAAGAAAAGCACTTCAAATCTAATTGTTGATTAATCGTTACAGATGTCTTAGAACCAATAGTCATTATCTAATAATGGATCTTTCTGCTCTAATACCCTATCATAGAGTTATCAGTATTTATCGTATCAACTCTATTTCTATCTAACGGAATGCTATTGGATCAAATGACAAAGACATTGTTAAGAAAGTATGGCCTTTTCCGGATGAAATGAAAATTGGATTCATGTAAGAGCACAAATATTTTCCAAAGTAACTTGCATTCACCCCCACAAACTATGATTATTTGTTAACTATAGCCCACACATTTGAAATTTGACATCCACCTCCCTATATTAAGTTCATATAGCCTATGTAGCACGGGAAAACGGGAAAACAGGAAAACAGACACGTGAAAACGGCATGTTTCAAAAAATGGGAATACAGGAACTTAGGAGAAACGTGAAAATATTAAAAGTAAATAACATATTTATAAATATGCTACATAAACATACATAAGTTTTTATTTATATATAAATTCATTTTATATATTTCCATACAAATGTATTGAAAATAAATATTATTATCAACTATTAAGCTACAATTGGTCATTAAATTATGTAAATAATTAGGGAAGCAACAAAAATATTTGTAAATTTCATATTCAAATATGTTTCTAACTTTTTAAAAATTGTAAAATGGCCCATACAGTATCCGACAGATGTCCTCGAGGGTCGGATACAAAACACATCTGAGACGCGGATACGTTAAGAAATTTAGCATATAGCAACCATGCTCATTTAAAATTTTTGATATCCACGTCGATCTCTTAGACTAAATTAAGGTCATTTAGCGACCATACCATGGCGACAACGATTTAACTCGCCACGTCCCGTCCCGGATTTACCGGGTAATCCCCACTCCGTTGCTAATGGGGCGGGTATGGGTTTTAAAAATTTCACCCGTAGCGGGTACGAGTTTGGAACATATACATCCTTACCCGCCCTGTATCCAATCTGTTTATATATTTTTATTACTTTTATATATTTTTTATATTATAAAATACTAATTTTAAAAGATATTTTAATTAAATAAATTATTAATATAAACAAAAATATATTTTCTTACGGGTCGGGGGCAACATTTGTACGGGGAGGGGATGGGTTTAATAAAATCAAACCCGTAATGGATACGGGTGGGTATGGGGAGACTTTTATACGGGGCGGGGCGAGTTTAATAAAATCAAACCCATAACGGATACGGGTGGAAAATTTTGCTAGCGGGGCGAGTGCGGGTTTTCCAAAAGCCACCCCGTACCCGCCCCATGACCATCCCTACTGTCATAGGCGTTTCTTTCCTCAAAAAAATTTCGTCCGTGCGGCCTGATTTGCCAATTCGAATCATTCAAGCCTTCCTCTCGATTATCTTCATACAAAACGCACAAACATAAGTTTTTTAAGGTCAGTGTAAACAATAACCACGAGTATGCAGCGGAAAAACATCACACAAGCACAGTTACGGGCAATGCTTAATCGTTATATGAATTCCCCACAAAGAATACAAAGGAGACTAAGGGTGCACACACAGGACCTCATTCAGAATGCCCACAATGGCAATCTGAACTCTCTAATACGAGATGGGTCGGATTTGTGCACTCAAAGCTATATAAATACAAGGAAGAAGGTATTTTTCTCATAAAACTACCTAGGGACACTTGGCAACACACTAGTCTAACACTTGGCTAACTATTACAAGTAAAAAGGGGCAGTTCCGCATGCTTTCCAAGCCTCAACCGCTCTGCAACTTCCCTCAAAACCGCCCACATGATAGGTTGTCGGGGCCTGCCTTGCTCAGGCGCGCCCGCGCGCGCACCAACAGCCCAAAACAGCCTGGCCGGTTACTAGGCAGCCCGTCTGCCTTGCCTTTTCCGGACACTTTGCTTGCCTTGCCAATCATTTGCTAGTTCTTTACCCACATTGTCATTGACACACACGCACATCGGACTGTCTTCCTTGACTTGCCAACCGGTCGTGCCAACTTGCCCACACTTGTCAAGTCGTGGTCGATTTTCTTCGAACGTTTGTTTGATCAAGTTCTCGGTCACATGCCGATTACTTCCCACGCTTGTCCGCCTTCGCTGTCGAGCAACGCCCGTGCCAACCACAAGTACTTTCGATCACCGTTCCCACTTGAATCAAGCCGTTCCTTGTTTTCTTGGACAAACACCCCAAATATTTGCCCAACACTCGACCACTCATTAACCGATTGTGTGGCTGTATTGTGTCAACCCTTGCTTGACACCATTTCTCGGCCATGACTTGGCCACACTCGACTCATAGCCGATGTTACCGACTAAGGGGGTAACAGACCTCCCCCACCAACGGTGTTCGACGCCCTCGTCGAACCGAAAACATCAGCTTCAGCTTTCCCTCCGTTCCACTTGTCTTGCCACTATACCCGATTGTGCTTCATCAATAACACAACATCAAAACTCAAATCCCAAGTCTGATCCCACGAACTTTCCACAAATTCTTTCGCCCTTGCGGAAAAACGAATGCGAACCACGTTCAAACAGCAACACCACACCACACATGAAAATGCTAGTTTTTAGCATAACTAACATTTTATCTCGATTGCCCCATCAATCAAGAAAGGAGACCTGCAACTCACGAAAATCACCCAAAATCGGCTTCAATTTCATCAACAACAAAAACCAACCAAACAAAAACCCAACAGGAAACACAAATTCAGAAGATACCACATTTCGAACCAAAGAATTATGCCACACAAGGCAGCAACTTGGAATAAAAGTAAGGCCACATTTCCCATTCATAAACCCAAATGAATGCCTCAACTTGCCTTCGGCCCTTGTCTCATTTCTCGGCAATGCACGTACAAGCAAACCCGCCCGAGAATTCACCGTCTTGTTTCCAACGGCAACAATTAGACTCGATGATCCCTCGTCGTTTGATTCTGCCTCCACTTGCACCGCAATCAACAACACTGATTTCTTTCCCGCCTTTGCTTTAGTTACGTACGAGCATTCAACAAACATGGACACTCTTCGTCCATAATGAACAACTCTCTGAGAAATGGTATCACCGCAGCCTTAGCAGCAAGTAGGAACTCTTGCCCCAGTATCACATCGAAATCGTCTAGTGGTACGGTAGCCAATCCACATTGCACTTTCCAAGAACCGATCACTAAATCAAAATCGGTTTTGCCCTTCACCGGCCCCGCCTTTGAATTTACAGCCTTAACTTGACTTGTCTGTTTTGAGAGAGACAAGCCCAGCTTCTTGACTTTTCTCTCGGCAACGAAGTTATGAGTTGCTCCCGAGTCAACCATCGCCTTCACTTCTTTGACATAAAGCATCACCGTAGCATACATCAAGCCCTTGGTGCCGTTGGGTGTCTTGTCCACGACCAAAGCACTCAACAACTGAATCGGACTCGCACGCCTCGCCTCGTCCGACTCTTCCTCACTATCCGACTCCCGCATCAAAGCACTCAACTTGCTCCTCTTAGGTCATTCCCTCATCCGGTAAAAAATCCTTAATAATGATAATTTCGACGAGATAAATGTCAAAATATTATGTATTTGGGGTGGGATTGTCAATTAAGTATAAGTTAGAGGTAGAAAATCAAAATTAAAGAGTTGATCCGGATCTAGGGTTTTAGACGCCGCACCGCACCGAAGGCCCATTTGAACGTGTCTAGGGTTTTATTTCGAACAACCCAATAACGAAACCCTATAAATACCCCCTTTCTCACTCTAGTTCATTCATCCCACCTCCGCAGCTCAATCTCAATTTCAACAATCTCCTCAAAATAATTTCTTATTAAATTATAGATTCAAATAAATATTTAAAAAAAATCAGCAGTGATGAATAATTATTTTTGTGCCGGAGACGCTAGCCGTCGGTGATGGCGCTAATACCTCTAAGAAGTTCTGAGCTTTACCCTTCTTTCCCTCTCTCTCTCTCTCTCTATATTTTTTTTTACTTTTAATTTTTAAATAATTTTTTTAAATTATATTTGCGAAGTGACGATTAATTCAAGTCTGTCAATCCACTGATTTATTGTGAAGACAAAATTGAATCCCGACAGGTTCTGATCGCTCTTTCTCTCTCTACATTTTTTTTCAAAAAAAATATATTTTTATATTTAATTATTAGACAAACTTTATGATTAATTATTTGTGGGTAAGTGATGAATATATTTTGTCAAATGGGTAATTTGCATCTGAATTTTTCTATGTTGCTAAAACACCTTGGAGAACTGATGCCCTTTATTCAATCGTAATCTTTCTTATTTGTGATTAATTATAATATAAAATTTATATTAATTATTTTTGATATATTGGATTTTAATTTTGTATATACTTTTTTGTGGGGGTAAATGATGAATCTTTTTGTCAAATGGGTAATTTGCATCTGAATTATTTATGTTGCTAAAACACCTTGGAGAACTGATGCCCCTTCATCCTCTATATTTTTCTTTGCTAAAATAAATGCTACATTCATTTTATTCTTTTTTAAATAAATTTAAAGTTTCTTTTAAGATATATAAATGTTTTTTGTAATTATTTAAAGTTTCGACCAATTGGAATATATTC